CCCCCCCCCCCCCACATTCAATAACTGACAAGTCAATGAATAAAAAGAATGAACGAAATATGGGCAAAAGGAAGGGAATAGGTTTTAGGCAGATTTGAATGATGACAAATTGTTAACCTTGGGTGGCTTGAAAATGGGCCTTTAAACATGGGGCTAGATTTTTAAGTTTTAGAGTAACAGAGTTACATAAATGGCACATAGCCCACTGAACAAATCCTAGCAGGGCAAGGACAGACAACAGAGCAGGTATGATACAAGGGAGAGAGGTACGTGAATTTGAAAAAATCACTTGGCACTTCTAGGCCTTAGTTCTTACTCTTTAAAAAGGAGTAGGGATAACGCTTCTCCCAGGATGACATAAGAATTATGCATGGAAAGCAACTATTTACAGGAAGTACTCATCAAAAATATCTGAAACTGAATGCATGTAAAGACTTAGTTATGGATAACTAAAGGAAAGATTATCCAATCAGGAGCAGAAGAGTTGGTCAGTGACATTGGAGGAACTCAAATTCCAAATAATTACAAACTGTCTTCAGGGAGAGGAAGAAAGTGGCGAAGTAAAAAAGAAGTAAAACCATTACTCACACCCTTTACTATCTGCTTAGGCAGCAGTTACCCTGAGGAAGGTAGCCAGGTTTACCTTGATTTGTGTAACGCAAGTGGGAAATAAGACACCCAAAGATTGAAATCCTCACCTACAGCAGCAAGAGAACAACCAATAATTATGCTGAGCGGAGGTAGTGAAAAAAAAGGTCCCCGAAAGGTCCTCGCAAACATCCAAAAATCAAGGTCTCTAACCAAAAAAAAAAAACTCTGTTGAGCCCAAGGAACGAGATAATTTATCTCATTTTCAAAAGTGTCTTCATAAGGATACTGAAATTAGTGTTTGTGAAAAACTAGTTTTGAATATTTTCCCAGTTATTTGTGATTCTCAGGTGTCATTGTTGGTCACAACTCCTAAACCTCACTTTCCCCTCCCCAAGAAGGAAAAAAAAAAAGTGAAGAAGGAAACACATGCAGGCCCCTGTTGGGCTCTTTCACTTGTATCATCTCCTGAAATCCACAGTAACAATTCTGTAACATGAAACCCCCCTTTGGAGACAGACAAGGAAACTGAGTCAAGGGAATGAGGGCAGTCATCCTCTGAAGTTATGCAGTATTTATCTTGAAAAATCTGACAATCGATTTTTTCAGCAAAGTTCTATTCTATATTCTGTAAAATTAGCCATCTGTAACCATCAACAATATTTTCGTCTTCAGTTAGAAATGGAAGAGAAGGGGAAATGCAAAAAGAGAAAACACTACAGAAAAGTTCCTGGCAATGAGAAGGTATAATCTGGGGGTAGGAATCTCAAAGGGACATGAGTGACATTTCTCTTTCAAGTGAGGGGCTTTCCTGGAGAATCAAAGGCAGGGGCTAAGCTGACTAAAAGATGATCCACTTGTCCCCTACCACAGATGGAAAGTAAAAGTGTTCATCCACAGACACGGAATGCAGAATAGGCTGTGTCTGTATCTGTAGATTCTGCACCAAATGCTGTTGGCTGAGATGTTCGGGCAAAACAAGTGCAAACCAACAGGTTATCTACCAAACGGTTAGAGGAGCAGTTACAAAGCCTAACCAGCAACATCAGCTCTTCCGTACCACCCTGTACAGCACTTCCTGCCACGGATCCCGCTATTAAAGAATTAAGGCTGCTCGCTCCGCACAATCCTCGCGCCTGCACCCTTGGGTTCCCCAGCCCAGCTAACACGTCATGCACTGGATTCATCCATACCCCCACCCCAAAGTTGGCCAAATGCATTCTTTAAACTTGCAATCAAGAAGCTGGGAGATAGGCTTAACAACAATCGTGGGGGGGGGG